CCCTGCAGGGAGCGCACGAGCTTCTTCTGCCCGTTGCGCAGCAGGATGTAGTCGTTGGGCCCCTCGCGGATGAGGGGCTGGTTGTAGTCGAAGTCCTTGCTGGGAGGCCGCAGGCCCAGCTGGGAGTAGTAGTGCTGGCCCGCCCGGGTCAGCTGCCCGTCCGCGCGCGAGAGCAGCGCGTAGGCCCCCGGGCCGCGCCGCAGGTTCAGCACGACGGCACCATTCGCCCCCGTGCGAGCCCGGGCGCCGCCGTCCGCGGCCTCCGTGATCTGCTGTCGTTGTCTCGCCCAACTTGCCATTCTTTTTTTACGGGGCCAGTTTTTTTTGGTTGGCCGCGCATTCTTCCCGGCCATACGTGCAGGTATGGCCGGGGAGAATAGCCTTTTTACACGGTTTTGGACATGCTCTGCCAGGAAGGGGGGCAGCTTCCGGGGTGCGTTCAAACGGGTTATGCCCTCAGAGCGTTTTCGCGGCGGGCGGGCTGGTGCCTGTAGGGTTTAAACACAGCTGGCTTTCAACAAAGTCACTATTTGCTCGAGAAGCAAGCTCTGCGATGGCGACTCGGTCCGAGTGCGAGCGCGAGGCGCGCGAGGCGGCAGCGAACCTGGTGCTGTCTACCGTCCTTCCGCACTCCGTGAGAATGGGGACTCGCGTGCTCGAGACCCTGGACGACATGCGGGACATACTGTCCTACCACAGCGTCGGCTGCAAGCAGGCTCTGCCCAACTTTGAAGAACTCGTCAAGGCCGGCCAGGAGCCCGCGGGTGAAGACTACCCGGCGACGAACTTGGAGCATCGCCTGGTGGAGTGGTTGGATCGCCGCGAAGCCGCCCCGGACACTCCGCCCGAGAAGCCTCAGTCTCCGCGCCAGCCCATTTACCTGAACTTGAAGAGGAAGGCGAGCGAGGCGAGCGAGGAGAGCGAGCCGGAGAAGCCGGAGCCGGAGTTAACCACCTTCTTGCTGCCAAGGGCCGCCGAGCCGCGAGAGGAGGATTTCATGAGGAACAAGGCCGCTCCCGTCTTCCACAGCAGCAACCACGTTCTGGTTCCCTGTGAGTTCCGCCACACAGGCCCGGGTGTGTCCGAAGCAGAACTGCTGGAGTGCCTTTGCAGGGTGGGGGACGACAAGTACCAGGGCAAAGGTTGCGCTTGGATGGCGTGGCGCCTCGTGGGCCAAGCTCAGCCTCCTGACGTCGGCCACCACGTCGTGCTTCAACCCGAAAGAGGGGCAAACTTGTGGGTCTTCTTCCACAAGCCCACCATGAAGCTGCTGCCCCATCCTCCGGCGTCCACCCACCTCTACAAGCTTGGCAAGGGGAAGCTTCACGATGTCGTGAAGCTGATGGCCAATTGCTTGGAGCAGAAGGGGACCATGCGGGCCATGAGTCGGGGCGAGTACGACGGCCTTGTTGCAGCAAACGAACCTCCGCCAGAGTTCTCCCCACGACGGGTTTTGAAGAACTACGGCGACATGACGACGTCCGAGTTCCAGAGCCATCTCATCAAGCTCGACACGACCTTCCGAGGCGACAAGGCCTTGAACACCGGCAAGCGCCCGCCGAACACTGAGGACGAGTTCGTGCACTTGCAGAGCAGGGCCCTCATGCAGCTCCGCAAGCAACTCCAGGACGACCAGTTGCAAACGGAGAGCCTGCTGGTGTCGCGCCATCGCCAACTTCTGATGACCGACTTCGTCATCAACGAGAGCACCGTGAACTGCTGGTGGTACAACCCCGAGGTCCACCAGAAGCAGCCACTGGACTTTTTTCGAGGCCTACGGGCGAGCTCGCGACGAGCGAAGGACCCTGATCTTCTACGGAGACAGCGGCAAGGGGAAAACTCCCCTGGCAAGTTGCCTGGCAGCCATGGTGGCCCGCGACGTAAGTCTGGACGAGTTCGTGATGGTGTCCAGCCCGGACATGCTGCGATCCGCGGTCGAGCGCAACCTCCTGCGCGACGAGAGGCCTTTGCTCCTGGACGAGCTTCAGATCAGCAGCAGCAACATCGGCGCCCAAGGCGGGGGAGTGGACACGCTGAAGCATCTCCTCGGTCTGTCGCCCGACTTGCCAGCCACCATCAAATGTCGCTACAACGACGTGAAGGTGCCTGCGGAGACGTTCAGGATCATCACGGTGCAGGACCTGGCGAAACTCCACCACAGCTTGGACGACATGGCAAAGATTTGCCCTCCGGACCTCATGCTCGACGGGTTTGAGTGGCGCGCTCGCCCGCTTGACAAGGTCTTCGACGCGGACACGCGCGCGGTGCTGAAGCGCTGCATCCTCGTGGAAGTGACGGCGCAGTGTGTCAAGGACTCTGTGCGCGAGAAGCGAAAGTTCGGGTCCGACAAGGCAATCTCCATGGCGGAGAGTTTGAGGGCCTTGTACAACGGCCAGTAATTCGCGACACCGGGGCCTGCCTTTTGAGGGAACAGACCAGGCAGAAGCCCGACGGAACGCATACAGATCGCGCGGGCCGTTGCCTCCCTTGCCGGGCACGCCGCATCCCGTCAGGACAGGCCGCCTGCAATACAACCCTCCCCCAGCTCCATGCTATATGGCCCCCAACCCGCTCTCCCCCGGGTCCTTGCTATATGTACTATATGTGCTATATCTTACAAGGGAACCCACTCTCCCCGGTTCCTTGCTATATGTGCTATATGTGCTATATGGGTCTTACAAGGCAACCCACTGAACATCCACTCTCCCCGGGTTCCTTGCTATATGTGCTATATGTGCTATATCTTACAAGGCAACCCACTGAACATCCACTCTCCCCGGGTTCCTTGCTATATGTGCTATATGTGCTATATCTTACAAGGCAACCCACTGAACATCCACTCTCCCCGGGTTCCTTGCTATATGTACTATATGTGCTATATGGCCCCTATATAGCACATATAGTACAGATTTTCGCGCGTAAGTATATAGCACATATAGCACATATAGCAAGGAACCCGGGGAGAGTGGATGTTCAGTGGGTTGCCTTGTAAGATATAGCACATATAGCACATATAGCAAGGAACCCGGGGAGAGTGGATGTTCAGTGGGTTGCCTTGTGAGATATAGCACATATAGCACATATAGCAAGGACCCGGGGGAGAATGGAGCGGGTTGGCGTCCATATAGCACATATAGCATGCTGGGGGAGAGTGGAGCCAAACCCAGGGACATTTGTGCGGTTTTGCGCCACGAAATGCTATTCTTACAGCTCTCTCTGTTATTTGTGAAATCTAAAACCGCTCACAGCGCATCCTCAGAGGTTATCATTCAGCAAATGTGGATTCTGCGAAAATTTGGTGGTTTTGCGCGGTGCGGCCACAGCCCTTCTGCTTGCACTTCTGCAAGGGTTTTCAGCTTGCTTCAATATGCAGGCAAAACGGGTCCTAGTCGCATTCTGTGCGTCTCGGAAGTTTAAGTTGCCCGGGCTTAAAGTGCTGTTTCTGGCCTTGTAAGTGCGTTTCTGTTGCAGCTTTGTGGCTCGAAAAGCATGATAAGTGCTTTCTAAGCGCAACGGTAACTCATAGCAGAAGGGTGGAATTCTCTTGGCCTCATTTGCTGCATGTGAGCCTTGGGTTGCGTCTCCGTCAATCCTCCGGCAACAGGATTGCTGTGCTGGGTTAGGGCAGCCGCAGATAGGCCACGTATACTTCAGCTGCCGGCTTCCGGAACTTGCGTAACGCAAAAGGACGAATGGGGAAGATCAAGCTTGTCCCCACGCCTGAGTACACCAGCAAGCAAGCCTCGGACCCCGTGGTGCCCCTGGTGCCATGCACGGGCATCTTCCTTGGGCCCAGCAAGTCGGGCAAAACTGTGGCGCTCATCAGTCTCATCCTGGAGCAGTGCAAGGGCGTGTTTGAGCGGATCTACGTTTTCAGCCCAAGCGTCAACATCGATGATGACTGGATCCCCGTCAAGAAGTACATCGAGCAGGACCTGGGGGTGAACACGGAGCGTGAGCAGGCTTACTGGGACGAGTGGGATGAGTCCGCCTTGCGGCGCATCATCCAGCAGCAGCGCAAGATCACGGAAGCGTCCAAGAAGTTGGAAATGAAGAAACTGCACCAGGTGCTTGTAGTCATCGACGACTTTGCTGACACGCCGCAACTCCACAAGCCGCACGGCGCCCTTGACACGCCCTTCATCCGAAACAAGAGGCGCCAGAGGCGCGCGCTGCGCCGGAGGCACCACACGTTGCACAAGAGGGGGAGGCCTCCTGGCAGCAAGAACAAACCGAAGCAGGACGTGCCTACTGAGCCGGCTGCCCCAAAGCGCAAGCCAAAGCCGACAAGAGAGCAGCAGCGCGCCCTGCGCATGCTGGAGAGGCAGTCGGCTTATGACCGGTTGACAACAGGCGCAAGCATACTAGTGTAAAAGCAAGATGATGTCCATTGAGCCCCGCAACGAGCCGCAGATGCTCTGGTGGTTCCGCAAAACTTATCCGAGTTACAACCTGCAAGCCCCCCCACCCCCCCACCCCCCCCCCGCACCACCTACCTCCTACCCTCCCCCCCCCCCCCCCCCCCCCACCGCCCCCCCCCCCCCACCCCCCCCCGCCCCCCCCCCCCACCCCCACCCCCCCCCGCCGCTACTGCTGAAGCGCTACCGAGAACTGGAGGAGGCGCCTTCAACAACTGGCTAGGCGAGCGCAGGCAGGCGCAGGAGGGGCAGCGGCACCTGGACGACGTGAGCCGGCTGACGGAGGCCGTGCACCGCCGGCGGACGAAGTTGCGCAACAGTAAAAGAAATGAAGACACTTCGGGCGCACGGCCTGTGCACAACTTGGCTCAAAAAGATCAAACTGGCAAGCCACGAGAGCAATTCTTTCCCCCGCACTTCTTCAAACGGCTTGGTACTGCATCCGCGCGCTTTGGCACAGGGAGGAACGCCGCAGTGAAACAGCTGTTGACCAGCGCCGGCAACTGTTGCTGGTCCTGTACCCGTTGCAGGCATTCCCTGCTTGACTTGAACACCGTTGCCTGATGTTCAAAAGTGTGAACAGTTGCCTGCCTTACCCTTCAGGAGTCAAGCAAAGTCGCACTGCAACGAAACAACTGTGCCTGCGAACGCATGCTTTTGTCACTGTACGAGGTGAAACGTTGTGCGCCAGCATTGCCTCAGCCGAGAACAGTGACCACAGCCAGCAGTAGCCTGGCAACGATGCAAGTTCGCACGTGTGGAACACTGCTGGGTTGCTGAGGTGCCTCAAACTATGCGGCTCCAGCAGCTCCAGCTGGAATCGTGAATCCATAGCAGTCTGCCCTGACAGCTGGGCGACGGCGCAACCCGAAATTGAAAGGCATCGGAACCAAGTGCTCGGCTCATCTGTCTCGCGCAGACTTGCTGACATGCTTTCTTCCTTGACCCAGCCGCCGTCCTGCAAAGTCCAGCTGAGAGACGGCAAGGGGGTGAGGTGTGGGGGATGGAACAAATGGGGTGCGCTTTGACATGCAAAGCTCTCCTTCCGGCGGTAAATGTCCATTTGATAGGCATCGCAGGATACAGTATTTGGGTTCTCCTGCTTGATGGCCTCAAGCAACGCTCAGTGTGGAAATCACTCAAACCCTCAATCTCTGTCATCGCCCTTCTTTCAAGAGCTTGCAAGACAGGATGAGCGAAATTCGGCTTGAGCGCGGGGCCTTCTTCAAGTCATCCACCTGACATCCCCGCGAAGCATGAAGCAGCAATTTCGAGGGCAAAACAATGGTTTAGGTCCTTCGCAAAGTGGCGCAGCTGAGGCGTGGGCATCTGAAACACTTGTAGTTATTTTGAACGCGCTGCCAATGGTCTCAGGCTCCGTGCCAGCCTCCTAACGCAAAGGCACTGCAATCCAGTTCACATCCATCCGTTTAACCGATGGCTCCACAAACGCCTTTGATTTTGGAGCTAGGCGACAATTTGAGAGCTCTTCTGAGAAGGAAGTCGACAGCTGTTTTCAGAACGTGAATGCAGGGCAAAACTGCTCACAGCTGCTGGTAAGGTCCAGGCAGGGCTTCCCAGCTGACAGACCCACACTGCTGGGGGTCGTTGCCGGGCGGCACTGCCTTGCAGGCGGCAATCTGAGCAACGGATGCGCCCGTTGGCTTTCACTCTCCCTGAAACTGATTAGGCTTCGAAATCAAGCTGTAATACATCCAACTAGAAAGCAACAATCCCATCCAAGGCCCAAGTACAACAAATGATGTGTAGGGCATTAGTCTGCCAGCGCCAATCGTTCTTCCAGCGCATGGATTTTGGGGGAAATCTCCTGTTTGTTTGAAAAGAACATGATCGGTCAGCTTTGCTTGCAGCTTTGCATTCAAGAGCATGTTTGCTTACAAGCGCCCCATGAACCATGAAACAACATGCAAATGCAAGACCAAAAGCGTCTGATGCCAATGGCTTAGAAAGAGTTGGCAAGGGCGCCGTTTTGGCAGGCTTGGTTCCTTGACCCATCGCAATGTCCTGACACTGCAAAAGGAAAGAAGGGCATCGCAAGAAAACAAACCATGTGGCACCCCGCGCAACGCTTGCCTTGCGCCAGTTGTAGCGCCATTTCCGCCTTTGACATTGCCTGGCTGGCCATTTTCACTGCTGCAGGCAGTGCAGCCTCTGATTGAAAGTAGACAACGTGCAGCATCTTGTTCTTGAGCAAGCCCAACACATTTTGAAGGCCAAGTCGATCAGCCAGCGATTCTGTATCGACTTGCAATGCTGCTCGGTTGAAAACGATTGCAAAGCCTGTGGTATCCGGCTGAAGCTTAACTGGCTCCAATTGTCCTGCATCGTCACGTGCTAAGAATCCCTGGCGTGCAACAAGGCAGCTCTGGATCTCAATCTGATAAAGCTTCATTGCAACATAGCGGCTGTCGGAACAGATTTCCACAAGCACTCTCTGAACGTTTGCGCACGTAGCACTGACCTTGACTTCGCTTAGCCCCTGGATCTTTGCAGCAAAGTTCTCGAAAGAACCATCGTAGAATGCGTCGACTTCAGCTTCCTCCTCCCCGACACCCCTTGATCTCATTCCGTCCCCAATGTGGTCGGAGACTGTTTCTTGCAGAAAGCACGCAACAGTCTCCCTGCATGTCTCCAAACGCTGCCGCTCCTTTGGGTCTTGACGTTGGATCTTAAGGAGCATCCGAGGACCACCACATTCAAAAATGCGGGATATCATACCTTCATAGTCTCCACCGCTGATCTGACTGACACTTGAGAAGGGTTTGGGCCGTCCGTCCTTACCAACTAAACAATACGTTTCGTCAAGTTGTCGTTCCCGTGCTGGCTTTCCTGCGGCACGGCATCCTGAAAATGCCAGTGTTTGCTGCGGTGGAAATGCAGAAGGCTGCCCAAATGTCGCAGGAGGCGCAACAAAAGGCCCAGGCGACCACCACCCAGGATGCGCATTTTGCGGAACAGGTTCCCCATGGTGTGCTACGAGTCGCCCATACCGCCACTCCATGGCAAGGCTTCAATGATAGAAAATGAATCTGTGTGACCATGCTGCTGGGTTTCAATATGCATCGAACGTGTCTGGATCAAGCTGCGCTCAATGCCGTGCACATGCATGTGTTAAGGATTGAATTGTTTGACATCAACTCTCCTCTGCTGCCAGCCGGGTGGGGAAAAAAGGTTCACTGCGCCATCTGCTTAGGACAACTTGAGATGTCGCACTGCATTCCAGTGGAAAACTACTCAAGTTGGACGGCACTACAGAGAAAGCAAAACTGCAAGTGACCACAGCCAGCAGTAGCCTGTCAACGATGCAAGTTCACAAGTGTAGAACACCGCTGCGCCGCTGAGGTGCCTCAAACTATGCGACTCCAGCAATTCCAGCTGGTAACGTGACAAACTATGTCACCGATTTGTGGAAATTTGCCGCCAACCAAGAGCTTCACAGCAAGCCGCACTGCAACGAAACAACTGTGCCTGCGACTGCACTTTTTTGTTCCTGTAAGAGGTGAAACGTTGTGGGCCAGCATTGCCTCAGCCGAGAACAGTGACCAGAGCCAGCAGTAGCCTATTAACGACGCAAGCTCACAAGTGTAGAAGACTGCTGCGCTGAGGCAGGTGCCTCAAACTATGTGGCTCCAGCAGCTCCAGCTGGCAACATGAATCCGTAGCAGTCTGCCCTGACAGCTGGGCGACGGCACAACCCAAAGTTGAAAGGCATCGGAACCAAGTGCTGGGCTCATCTGTGTTGCGCAGACTTGATGACATCCTTGTTTCCTTGACCCAGCGGCCGTCCTGCAAAGTCCAGCTGAGAGACGGCAATGGGGTGGGGTGTGGGGGATGGAACAAATGGGGTGCGCTTTGACATGCAAAGCTCTCCTTCCGGCGGTAAATGTCCATTTGATAGGCATCGCAGGATACAGTATTTGGGTTCTTCTGCTTGATGGCCTCAAGCAACGCTCAGAGTTGAAATCATTCAAACCCTCCATCTTTGTCATCGCCCTTCTGCAAACAGCTCGCAAGACGGTATGAGCGAAATTCGGCTTGAGGGCAGCACTTCCTTCAAGTATGCCTGCCAACATTGAAGCTAAGACGCACAGCATCCTCCAAGTTCAAGTTCACACAAAAAGTGATCAAAATGCATTCAACAAATACATGGCAGGGGTGCTATGTTTTGCGGCACTGGGTCGATTGGAAAAGCATTGCCAGCGGGCTGGAAGCCGCCACTGCCCTGCAAGGTCAGGGAGCCAGGGCAAGGAAAAAAACACAACATCTCCGTTGAATATTGAAGGTGGGCGACAATTTGAGAGCTCTTCTGAGAAGGAAGTCGACAGCTTTTTTCCGAACATGAATGCAGGGCAAAACTGCTCACAGCTGCTGGTAAGGTCCAGGCAGGGCTTCCCAGCTGACAGACCCACACTGCTGGGGGTCGTTGCGGGGCGGCACTGCGTTGCAGGCGGCAATCTGAGCAACGGATGCGCCCGTTGGCTTTCACTCTCCCTGAAACTGATTAGGCTGCGAAATCAAGCTGTAATACATCCAACTGGAAAGCAACAATCCCATCCAAGGCCCAAGTACAACAAATGATGTGTAGGGCATTAGTCTGCCAGCGCCAATCGTTCTTCCAGCGCATGGATTTTGGGGGAAATCTCCTGTTTGTTTGAAAAGAACATGATCGGTCAGCTTTGCTTGCAGCTTTGCATTCAAGAGCATGTTTGCTTACAAGCGCCCCATGAACCATGAAACAACATGCAAATGCAAGACCAAAAGCGTCTGATGCCAATGGCTTAGAAAGAGTTGGCAAGGGCGCCGTTTTGGCAGGCTTGGTTCCTTGACCCATCGCAATGTCCTGACACTGCCGAAGAAAAGAAGGGCATCGCAAGAAAACAAACCATGTGGCACCCCGCGCAACGCTTGCCTCGCGCCAATTGTAGCGCCATTTCCGCCTTTGAAATTGCCTTGCTGGCCATTTCCAATGCTGCAGGCAGTGCAGCCTCTGATTGAAAGTAGACAACGTGCAGCATCTTGTTCTTGAGCAAGCCCAACACATTTTGAAGGCCAAGTCGATCAGCCAGCGATTCTGTATCGACTTGCAATGCTGCTCGGTTGAAACCGATCGCAAAGCCTGTGGTATCCGGCTGAAGCTCAACTGGCTCCAATTGTCTTGCATCGTCACGTGCTCAGAATCCCTTGCGCGCAACAAGACAGCTCTGGATCTCAATCTGATAAAGCTTCATTGCAACGTAGTGGCTGTCGGAACAGATTTCCACAAGCACTCTCTGAACGTTTGCGCACGTAGCACTGACCTTGACTGTGCTCAGCCTCTCGACCTTTGCAGCAAAGTTCTCGAAAGAACCATTGTAGACTGTGTCGACTTCTGCTTCCTCCTCCCCGACACCCCTTGATCTCATTCCGTCCCCAATGTGGTCGGAGACTGTTTCGCGCAGAAAGCGCGCAACAGCTTCCTTGCATGTCTTCAAACGATGTTGTTCCTTTGGGTCTTGAAATAAATTTGCACGGAGCGTCCGAGGACCACCACTGCCAATCATGCAGGATATCATACTTTCATAGTTCCTTCCGCTGATCTGACTGACACTTGAGAAGGGCTTGGGCCGTCCGTCCTCATCAACTAAACAATATGTTTTGTCAAGTTGTCGTTGCCGCGCTGGCTCTGGTATGGCATGGCTTCCGTAAAAAACTGCCTGTGTTTGCGGTAGAAATTGCACCGCAGGGCGCGGAAGTGGCGCAGCAGGCGCAACAAAAGACCCAGGCTGCCCAAACCACGCAAGAGGTGCATTTTGCGGAACAGGTTCCCCACGGTATGCTACGAATTGCCCATGCCGCCACTCCATGGCAAGGGTTCAATGATAGAAAATGAATCTGTGTGACCATGCTGCCGGGTTTCAATATGCATCGAACGTGTCTGGATGAAGCTGCCCTCAATGCGTGCACATGCGTGTGTTGAGGATTGAATTGTTTGACATCAACTCTCCTCTGCTGCCAGCCGGGTAAGGAAAACGGTTCACTGCGCCATCTGCTTAGGACAGCTTGAGATGTCGCACTGCATTCTGCGCCAATCATTTGCAATCCCAATGGAAAACTACTCAAGTTGGAGGGCGCTACAGCGAAAGCAAAACATTGCCAGCCTCAGTGCCGCCTCCACTGCCAGCCTCAAAGGCCGCATCGTTGAAGTCGCTGGAGGCACCACTGTCGAGCACCTCCTCCACCGCCGCTGCAGGATGCGGAGGGTCCACCCGACCGATGATGTGGTCCATGTTGACTGGTGTCAGGGATGACAAGAAGCTAAAACAAAATCTTGGAAGCAAAAATGCTGCGATCCCAATCGTCCATGCACAGGCTCGTGAGGCATCATTTGGTGGTAGAAACGAAACCCAACGGGGATCACCGGCCGTTTGGATTCGCATTTGGGCATGGTCATAAAATCGAAGCCCATACCGTTTTGGATGAGCTGCAACATTTGGTCGTGGTACAACGAAGGCTCGCGATAACAAAGGCTCACGCTCACAGGCTCACGCAACGATCAAGTGTCACAACACGACAGACATAGGCTGGCCTGGTCCGCCAGAGCAGGATGTTGCGATGTAGCCGCCTCAGCAAGCCGCACGTCGATCCAACAAAGTTGCCAAGGTACGTCAATCCAACAAAGTTGCCAAGGTACGTCAATCCAACAAAGTTGCCAATGTACGTCAATCCAACAAGCCAACAATGCACGGCAATCCGACAAACCGACAATGCACGGCAATCCAACAAGCCGACAAGCCTCCCACCAACCCCGCGTTAGGGCCCTGCAAAAAGGCTTCTCCAGGAGCAGGATGTAGCCGGCCGACAATGCGTCCAACAAGCCAACAATGCGTCCAACAAGCCGACAAGCCCCGCACCAATCCCACATCAGAGGAGCCTGAGTCACCGGAAGTACCCTAAGTGCCCTAGACCGGATCCTCTCAACCAGGACCTGAATTGCCAGGGTCCTCTTGGCCAGGATGTAACCGACCTGAGCCGGGGCTGGGTCCCGCCAGAAGTGCCCTAGGTGCCCTGCCAGGGTCCTCTTGACGACCTGAGCCGGGGCAGATCCCACCCGAAGCGCCCTAGGTGCGACCCGTTGGGCGAACCATTGAAAAACGAATCCCCCCGGGCCCGTTGGGCAGACCATTGAAAAAAAAACGAAACCCCTCCAGACCCGTTGGTCGAACAATTGAAAAACGAATCCTCCCGGGCCCGTTGGGCAGACCATTGCAAAAAAAAAACGAAACCCCCTCCAGACCCGTTGGGCGAACCATTGAAAAACGAATCCACCCGGGCCCGTTGGGCAGACCATTGAAAAAAAAAACGAAACCCCTCCAGACCCGTTTCCCTAGGTGCCCTCGTCTTCGCCAGGATGTAACCGACCTGAGCGGGGCCGCCCCACAACCGCCCTAAGTGCCCTACCCCCTCCCGGTCCCCCCAGGTGCCCTAGGTGCCCTAGGTGCCCTGGGTGCCCTACCGGGGCCCCCAGAAGCGCCCTAAGTGCCCTACATGCCCTGCCCGTGCCCCAGTTGCCCTAGGTGCCCTGGGTGCCTACCGACCTGAGCCGGGGCGGGTGCCCCCCAGGTGCCCTAGGTGCCAGGTGCCGTGGCCTGCTCAGGGGAAAAAACGGGGGGGCAGGGCACCCAGACCACCTAGGCACCTAGGGCAGGGACTGGGGCCGGGGAAAGGGGGCAGGGCACCCAGCGCACCCAGAGCACCTAGGGCACCCAGGGCACCTAGGGCACCTGGGGGCCGGGGCCAGGGCACCTAGGGCCGGGGCACCCAGGGCACCTAGGGCACCTGGGGGGCAGGGCACCCAGGGCACCTAGGGCACCTGGGGGGGACGGGTAGGGCACCTAGGGCACCTGGGGCAGGGAATCTGGGACCGGGGCCGGCTCAGGTCGGTAGGGCACCTAGAACACCTAGGGCACCTAGGGCACCTGGAAGGACCGGGGCCGGGGAGAGGGGGCCAGGGCACCCAGGGCACCTAGGGCACCTGGGGCACCTAGGGCACATAGGGCACCTGGGGGGGAACCGGGTAGGCAAATGGGGGACCGGGGCCGGGGAGAGCGGGCAGGGCACCCAGGGCACCTAGGGCACCAGGGCACCTAGGGCACCAGGGCACCTAGGGCATGTAGGGCACCTGAGGGCACCTAGAATATGCGGGGCCGCCCTGCTAACTGCGCCTTTTATGGCGCGCCAAGGGCGCGCCTTGGATTGCCTCTTGGATGCGCCTTGGCTTGCTCCTTGGATTGCTTTGGGGCCAAGAGGGCGCAGGGGCGGACCTCGAGCCTGGGGCCTTTTCTGGGAACGTCGTTTTGCTTAACAGGAAAGAAGGTTCCTAACGTTGTCGGGTTCGTTCCTAACGTTGTCGGGTTCGGAACTTTCCCTAACGTTGTCGGGCTCCCTTCTTAGGGAGCCTTGACTGCGTTTTCTTGTTTTGCGGAAGCGCCCTGGATTTGGTTTGAGAACCAACGGGGCGGGCCCTTTTTCCCGTTTGAGCCTGAAGGCGCGGGTTTGCCGAAAAGGGACAGGGGTGGGCCTAGGAGGAGTCTGTTTTTGCGGGACCTGCGCCTTCCTTAATTGGCCTTAGCTGATGCCTCCGTAGGAAGCCCGCCCCTTGTGTAGGGACCCTCTTGACTGTTCTCTGGCGCGCCTCATATGGGAAGGGCCCAGACTGCGCCTTGGGCGCGCCTTGGCTTGGGACGCGCGTTGTTGGGTTCGGAGCTCTAGCGTTGTCGGGCTCCTTCTTTGCAAACAGTGCCTAGAATAGGACGCCCTGCTAACTGCGCCTTTTATGGGCCGTGTAGAGGGCCCAGACTGCGGGCGCGCCTTGGCTTGGGGCGCGCCTTGGATTGCCTCTCGGATGCGCCTTGGCTTGCTCCTTGGTTGCTTTGGGGCCAAGAGGGCGCAGGGGCGGACCTCGAGCCTGGGGCCTTTTCTGGGAACGTCGTCGTTTTGCTTAACAGGAAAGAAGGTTCCTAACGTTGTCGGGTTCGGAACTTTCCCTAACGTTGTCGGGTTCCCTTCTTAGGGAGCCTTGACTTTGAGAACCAAAGGGGCGGGCCCCTTTTCCCATTTGAGGCTGAAGGCGCGGGTTTGCAAGCGCTCCGCGCAAAAAAGTAGACGAAGCCGGGCGGCTGTTTGGCTCTGGCTGTGTTCCACTTCGGCTTCGCGGCGCGCGGCCTTCGATGGAGCTGCGCCGCGGGTGGCTCGAGCCTCAGTCTGCGTGTCGGACTGGCTCTACAGTCGACCCCCCGCGTTGCCCAAGGCCGTCCGTCGACTGCGCTCGATTTCGAAAAAAACCGGCTGTGGAGGATGGCGGCCACTGCGATAACCCGGTCGGGGAGCGTTCTTTCGAGAACCTCTTCGGCGTGTCCGCCGTAGTCAGGAAGGCGGGGTCATTCGAGGAAACAGCCGTCAGGCGCCCATCCGCGCCTTGGGCCGGGGTTAACAGCCTTGGTCGAAGCCTTCCAGACCTTTGCCGGGGAAGCTTCTCTGGCGATGTCCCAGCGGCAGAGGACCCAGAGAAGCAGAGGCGAAGAGCTGCGGGCAGGCGTGGCTTGGCCGAAGCCACGTTTCAGCGACCGACTTGCAGGAGCAAGGGGAGAGCGCTTGCGCTCAGCGAACTTTGCGACTGCGTCTTGGCGCTGGAACGCAAGCTGCGGGGGGAGGGCCTGGGTGCCTCAGTGAACCTTGCAGCCGAGCCAACGGACGAACGTTTCGACGACGAGCGCCGCCGCGTCACGTGAGAACGCGCGCGCCGGCCAAGAGAAAGCGGGCCGCGCTGCGTGAAGAAGCGTCTCCAGAGCAACGGCGCTCTTTCGGTCGCGCGGGGCGAGGAACGTGCTTAATCGAGCTTGAGCGTCCCGGAGAAAGAAAAAAACAAGGCCGCCTTGCTTGAAACTTTAAGCCCAGTAAGCCAGGGCGACCGCTGGTTCCATTGTTCCAAGCTGCGTTATTCGCAGCTGTTCGCAGTTCAAACCTTGCATTGGCACGCTTTGCGACATGACTTCGGAGCCGTCGCAGCCTTAATCGTTGCGAGCCTTTCCTTGGTCGCTCGGGCCGTTCTCCACTCAGGCTCGCGGATCTTACGTCGTGCCCGGCAAAGGTCTTGCTGTGCGATTTGTTTTTCAAAATCTCAGTGGAAGGGTGGGCCGAGTTTCGACGCCGTTTTCTTCAGCTTGGGAGTCGCGGACTGTTCAAGACAGACGTCCAAGACTCTTGTAGTTTTTTCAACGCCAGGAGAGCGTGTGCTGACCCAAACGCCGGCGACTACCGACACTGGGGCTGCCAGTGAGACTGGTACGATGTTGTGTATTTTGCGCGCAAGAAGTTGGGCGGGCTTGTGCATGTTTTGTTGGTTGGCAGAACAAAGCTTCTGCCAACCAACGCTCTCCTTTTAGATCCGTCGTGGCACGAAACCCGCCGGGCGCGCGAGAAGATGTCCCAGCTGCAGCACGTGCAACGCTGCTTCGAGCGAATTTGGCGGCGCTGAAGCGCGACGAGCTGCCACAAGTTTCACCCTTTGAGCCCATGATCGACGAATAGCGAAAGAACGGAGAGGGAGAAAACACACAAGTGACAAAGTTTGGAAACGCTTGGCGGGCCAAACGATTCTGCAGCATTTGAGAACGCGCGCGCGACGTCTCGCGCCGCTGCCCTGCAAGGCCTTAAGACTGCGCCTTGGTCGGGCGTGCCTTGGCTTGGACGCGCCTTGGACTGCCTCTTGAGCGCGCCTTGGCCTGCTCCTTGGGTCGCTGTGGGGGAACAGGGGCGGACCCGGGGAGAGTCAAGCCGGGTGCCTTTTTCAAGGGGGGTCGTTTTGCGCCCTCTGCAGGGAGCCTTAACTGCGCCTTCTACAATGAGGGGGCGTGTAATTGGGCGGGCGAGCCCGCCTTGGATTGCCTCTTGGACGCGCCTTGGGTTGCTCCTTGGATAAGCCTGCCAGTCGCCGCCTTAGCTTGTCGGCGCCCCGCGACGCGCCTTGGGTCGCCCCTTGGCTGGCAATCAAGCGCCTTGGTCGTGTCTTGGCTCGCGCCTTGGGTCGTGCCCCGGCTCAAGGTCAAGCGCCTTGGCGCCCTTAAGGGGGCCTCCCTTTATAGGGAGCCTTGACTGCGTTGCCTTGGATTG